CCCCCCCCCCCCCTTCCCCCCCCCCCCCTCCCCAATCTCCCCATCCGGTGTCCCCCTCCTTCCAAGCAGAGCAGCGGCACATCAGCGCCTCGCCCGCCAATGGAACCGCCCTCGTCATATGTCTTACCCCCCCCCGTCTATCCCTGCCTCACGTCTCACACCCCTCCCCTCCCCGCCATCAATCAGCTGAGTCCCGATCAACCCCCCCTCCCCCATTCGGCCTCCTCCCTCCCCCTCAGCCACACCCACAACCAGCAGCCCTCCCGATCCCGACGCAAGGGGTCCGGACGGCGAGGGGAAGGAACGGCAGATGCGATGCAAGGGACACAAACGGATGCACGCACAGGCAAACAGATCACACCACTAGCCGTGCGCGCAGACAAACGCAACGCCGGGGAGGTAGCAGTGAGCGCGCAAACGCAACGCAATGCAATGCCGGACCGAGGGCCCTGCAGGTACCGAGAGGCGGCAGCGGCGGGGGGATGTCCGTTTGCGGCTGGGGGGGGGAGTGCCGGGGTCCCAGATGACCCTGGGTGGTGGATGGATGGGTGGCCGCGCTTGGAGTTCCGGGGTTCCGCGTTGGTGAAGGGGGGTCACGGTGAGTTATGAGGGAGAAAGGGTCAGGTCATAGTGATTCTGTGATGGTAGGGTGCGTGGGTGAGGTGGTTGGCGGTGCTGTTGACGATTGGGGATGTGAGACCTTTACGGCGGCATGCACTCAGTCACTCACTACCTCGGCGGGTTTGTGATGATTAGGGGTGTGAGACCTTCACGGCGGCATGCACGCAGTTACTCACTACCTCGGTAGGTTAATGATATTTTACGGTAGGGCGATGAGATGTTCACGGGAGTTGCAATGCTGTCACTATCGGCCGGCCAAAGATGTGAGTCCTTCGCGTCAACATACACCCCATCTGCGATTTTATGATATTCTACGGTAAGACGATTTCATTTCTCAGAGTTGCTATCGACCAAGGGATGTGAGACTTTCACGTTGAGCACACAAAATACAGTACGCAAAAATTATACCTCAACAAAATAAAAAGCCAAAAAAAAAATCAAGTAAATTGGAGAAACGGCGAATCGAACGCCGGACCTCTTCTATATTACCAGAGTAACTTAACGAAACTCAAGTGCTAAAGAAGCATTATACCACTAAACCATATCCCCTTTTGATTATGTAACGTAATGCCTTGACTCCATATACTTATTCTGCAACGTTTTTTTCAATTCAGGGTTGCTGTTGATTAGGGATGTGAGAACTGCAAGTTTATGATAATTTACGGTAGGACGATGACTTCAATGTCTGGAATTGCTGTTGACTGAGGATGTGAGACTTCCAACGTCAAACATACATTTCTCCTAACTGCAATTTTACGATATTTTTAAGATATTTTGAGATATTTTACGGTAGAAAATTTTATACTCAGTGCTGCCGTCAACCAAGAATGCGATCCCTTCGCATCAACATACACCCCCTCCGCGACCTTTTGCGCAACCCGGCGTGTATCTCCACCGATCCAAATACGCATTCGCATTCGCAGTCCCATTATTGCTAGTAGCATACGCGCCGACAAGTGTTCTTGTTTAAATCATAAGCCTCTCCATTCTCTCCCATTCTCACACACCCAATGGGACGACCTCCAACTCACCAACAAATCTCATAGTGCCACGGTAAGTATATCAGCACCACCACCCCCTATCCCCCCTACCTCCTTTTTGGTGGGTGTAATGAGAGATTATATATTTTTCACCAGCTTTAACTTTGAAAACTTTTTATTTAATCGCATTTGCTAATTCCAAAAGGTGTTGTTCTTATTTGTAGGCGTGGGGTAACAGGCACCCTTAGATGTATATTGATAATATCTGATGCCCTTTCCAACCATCTTCCCTTAATATGTACTAACAACTATCCTCACTCTTACATATATATTAAACGTCTCCTACCTACGCTTACCTATTTACCTTACATATCTGAAACGTTTACGGGACGGAATCATGGCTGGTTCATACCAAAGACTGTACTCAAAGAAACCAGGTGACATAAAGCCTTTTCTCAAAAATGAGGATGGGTTAAGTTCATCCTACTATCTACATCCGTTTACTAAATGTTTACCCCGAAGCTTCTAGTCCATTACGACGAGATCTTTTAATAGGTTCGTAACGAATAGAACCATGTGTGCCAATAAGGTATAACCTTTACCTATTTACCAACCATTTTCTAAGCGTTTATGGCATCAGTACAGAACGTCGTCGGCGTGTACGCACAAGTATGCTTTCGCATTGGATCAAGCCTCAAATGGACAGATAGGCAAGGAGTGGTGGAATAACTTCGCGGGCTATTCAAGGCTGCTATTGCTCCCACAGACGCTTTGAGGCTCCATCTGAGGCAAAGGCACTCATCGCCAGCTTACGTCTGTGTCGGAAAACCATCTTAAGTAAGAAATTCTTAACGTTTTACAATTATTCACTAAACGTTTATTAGGAAGTATGGAGACTGCGAATTCAGACTATGCTGAATGTCACACTGCTATCTTGGTCTATGGCGGGCCAGAAACGCTACCGCTAATAAGAGACTCAGCAAGAAAAGGTTGCCAAAGGTAAAGATATCCAACTGGAGAAAGCACTTATACGCTTATTGATACGTTTTTAAACGTTTTCGTGTATTTTAGATCCAGCTACTATATACAGGGCTGATGGTGCGATGGCTTTACAGGGCAGTGATAATATGATGATTTCACGTTACTATATGTTTTTAAACGTCTATAGCTATATCATAGTTCCGGTGGCCATTACCCTACCTGCCGTTAAGAATCGATTTTATGATTTTATGGACATAATGACTATTTGGCAATGAGCACGCGTGCTGTGCTGATGACTTTGATAGGATGATGCTTCGTTTTGACCGTCCTGTGGCGCCATGTGGGTGACCCGTCTGGCTTTTGATACACTCAGACTCTGATACACTCCAGTGGCATCACGAGAATCCCACATATATCCGACCTTGAACTTCACAATAACGCCTTATCCAACCTCCTTCCACATACCCACCCGGGTTAACGCTGCTGTAAGACCCTACAGCTCTATCAACTAAGTGCTACAGACCCCAATACACGGTCCCACTGCATCTACACCCTGTCCTGCGCACCCCAACAGAGCGCACCGCATTGTCTCAGCCACAGCACCAACTCGGAACAATTGTATCTACGATCGTCAGACCCGCGAGAAAGGCTAGTCATGCCCTGCATACGTCTCACGGCGCCTGCGTCACGGATTCCCTGGTTCTATTGTGGCGACATTTGTGGATTCAGGTCGGGCACTGACCGAGACATGCATATTCGCCATCATGCAGGTTCCCGAGTCTCGGCTGAGGGGGGGGAGAAGAAAGTGGCAGAAAGAGAAATCGCAAAAGTCGTTTTTTTAGTTTGGGGGGAAAACTAGTTTTGGAGAAGAGCACTCAATATTGGCGGCATGTTGCATGGCTGGTCACACACTGAGAGGTTTGTTTGTTTTTGAGATTTATCGATTTTTTCTACGATATGGTATTTATTTACTGGTATTTATTTACAGATTTGAGGATGGTTACTCAAACAGGGCTCCCGGCCGCCCCCAACGCCACAGCTACACACACACGAATCTAAAGCACAAACTGCGTCTCCGTGGCCACCTTATGGAACCTCCCCCTCAGCAGATCCTTGCACGTCGCGCGGCTGTTCTTGATGTTCTCCTTGACAAGCACCATCGTCGGCCTCTCAAAGATGAGATCAATCTCCTCCAGCGTCTTGTTCTTGGTCTCCGGCATGAAGAGCAGCTGGTAGAACCAGCCCAGCACAGCGATGCCTCCGTAGAACCCGAGACACAGCCCGATGCCAGTGAAGGCCTGGAACATCCCGGTGAAGTTGTAGGTGACGATGAAGCTGGAGAGGAACATCCAGGCGCTGGAGACGGTCATACCGTACGAGCGCAGGTAGGTTGGGTAGACCTCAGATGGGACGACCCAGGTCAGCGTAGCGTAGCATCCGAAGAAGGCCATGTAGATGACCAGGCCCGTCAGATACAGGCCCTGCACCAGAACCGTGTCGACGGCAGGGTCGAAGTTGTAGCTGACACCCACGAGAATGAGACCCGTGAAGAACCCAGGCAACATAGCAAGAGCCCAGAATCGTCGACCACACAGCTCCATATAGAAGACCGCGGGGATAGTACCAAACAGCAGCGCGCCGCCGCCAACAAGGGACATGTAGTTCGCCTGCGTATCATCAAAGCCAATCGACTGCATCAGCACGGACATGAAGTACATGACCGCGTTGATCCCCGTGAACTGCCCCAGGAAGATCATCACGTTCGCATAGACGAGAGCGCGGCGCGCGCGCGGGTTGGTGAACAGATCCATCCACGGGAAGCGCTTGGTGCGGCCCTCTTGCACTTGGAGAACCTCGAACTCGAGCGACGACTTCATCTCGTAAAACTCCTCGCGTGACTCGCGGGTCTCGGTGCCGCGGATGCGCTTCCACACGCGGAAGGCGTTGAGGTAGTCGCCCTTGTGCATGAGCCAGCGGGGGGATTCGGGGACGTAGAGCGTGCTGTGGGATTTTATGTTAGATGGGATTCGGTATGCAAAGGGGGTGGATTGATGACTTACCCGATTCCCATAATGGTAGAGAAGACGACGGAGGATCCGAGAATGTAGCGCCAGTTCCCTGGGAGACCCAGGAACATGGCTCCAACGGCGTATCCGAGGACCTCACCGAGGGCAATCATGAGCTGGTACAGGGAGACGAGGTTACCACGCAGCCTCCTCTCGACAGTCTCGGCGACGTAAACAGGCACGGTTCCGCCCTCGAGTCCGACTCCAGACCCTAGAATCAAACGCGCCACGACCAGCATGGGGAAGTTGATTGCACCCGCGCACAGCGCAGCTCCGATCGTATACAGCACACACGAGATGAGAATGGATATCCTGCGTCCGAGGTATTCGTTGCAGGGGGAGATGAGGAACGCTCCGATCACAGCTCCGAGCGGCATACCCGCATTGACCAAACTCGACTGTTTCGAGTCGAGCCCGAGGTCCTTGGGGAGATATAGGTTGGCGCCTGAGATGAGAGATTGATCGAGGCCAGAGAGGAGACCGCCCATGGACGAGAAGATGACGAGGAAGATGGTGAAGTGCTTGGGGCTCTTGAAGTTGATGGCAAACATGTCTTTTTTGGGGGGTGCGGCGGCGATTTCAGTCTCCATCTGCGCGATGAGGGTGTCGACGTCCTCGTGCATGTTGACGTGGTCGTCGTGCTCGACATCCTGTCCCGGCTTGGTGAACTCGGGAGCCATCCAGTGGGGGTCCTTCTCTTGCATGGTCGTCATCTTGAAGGCTGTTTTCAGAGACACGTGCTGGATTTGCTTGCTGCTCTTGGAGAGGGGAAAAGCTGGGGAGAAACTGGGGAGGTGAGACCTCATATACAAAATATCAGAAAATTCGGGCCTTCTCCAATTCCCCACGCAAGACAGTGAGGGGGAGATGTGGAGAAGTTTTCGCGGGGCACTGCCTCTCTCCTCATATCCCTCAACGAGGAGCCCCGCGGGGTGGTTTGCTCGCTTTGGGCTGACCGTCGACCTCGTGTGGATCCTCATTCATCTCGGCGGTTTTCTCATCCAACGCCCACAACGCCGTGACTCCGCATCGTCGACCATGAGCTCTGATTGTGGATCATGGCTGTTGGCTGGGCAGTGGAGGCAACTCGAGGCTCTCCACCATGTGCATCATTAGCAAGGATCTGAGAAAAAAGATAACCCACTCTATTCAACTGCCCGTATGGTAGTGCCTCTCGGTCGCCTGCCGAAGAATAGCACCGATGCCGCTACGACGATCCTATACGGAATTCGGTATCCGTACCAAGAAATCCGGCTCTCTTGGTGTGGTCTTGGTACGAGTTGGTGCGAAACTAAGCCTTCCAACTACCGGTGCTGCGCTACCGGATCAAAGGAGTGCGCTCCATTGGGCCCTAGCGCCGCGATGAGCCGTCTACGACTAGGAAGGCCCGCGGCTGAACTCCGGACCATAGTTCCAACATTTCTCACCTTGCCCCTTTCGTCCCCTTTCGCCTCCACGCCCCCAAATTTGGAGAAATTGTTTGGGTGTTGGTTATCAGCTTTCATGATTTTATGGGCCATGC